AAAATTTTTTACATTCTTACAGTTTGATTTTCTTAGGACTAATCACTCCCTTATCCTACCTTCCTTCTAGTCAGTCTTCTGTTTCCTTCTTATTGTCCTATTGAGTGAAGTCAATTTTGTACTTAATTGTGTATTTATATTTTTCTGTCATTTGACCAGTTCAGATGAGAACGAATGAGATTCAGGTGTCTGCTGTTTCCCACACCCCTTCCTTCTTGTACATATAGACATCCCCTTGTGAGATAATTTCCCCTAACTTTCCTCCCCTTTCCACCTCAGTGTGTTTTTTTTATTAACTTTCTTTCTGATCATCCACATAATAGAACCACACTTAGGCCTTCTGTCTAATTAAACTATGAACCCTGATAATAGGTGTCTGAGGGAATACCTGGTATAATCCATCTCCCCATGTTAGAATGTAAACATTTTATTCTTATTTCATCCTCTGTGATTGTGTTTATCTTTTGATAAATTTTCTCTTGGCTCCTGTGTTTGCAGTTCAAATTTTTTACATAGCTCAGTTTTCTGTTCAGGAAGTCCTCTTTTTCACTTAAAGATCCTGACTATATATAGCTGTATCTATATCTCTTAACTATATCTTCTTGATACTTGAATTCTTTCTCTTTGGCTTCTTATAGTATTTGTTCTTTGACGTGAAAGCTCTGGATTTTAGCTTTTATATTTCTGGGCATTTTCATTTTGAGATTTCTTTAAGGAAATGATCAGTGGATTCTTTCTGTTTCTACTTTGTCCTTTGAATCTAAGAGACCTGGGCAGTTTTCTTTAAAGATTTCTTGAAATGATGTCTAGCCTATTTTCTGGTTGTGCCTTTCAGGTTCGCCTTTTCGGTGCCTTTTCAATAATTCTTACTTTTTTTATCTCCTTGATCTCTTTTCCAGGTTGTTTAAAATAGTTTTTTTGGCTTTACTTCTATTTTTTTCATCTGTTTATTTGTTTTAATATTTCTTTTTGCTTCTCATTAAAGGCTTTGGCTTCTATTTGGTCCATTTTGATTTTCAGGAGTTTATTGCTTCGGCAATAAACTTGTGCCAAGTTTTTAATTCACCTTTGAATTTTTCTTCAATAGCTCATTGCCTTTCCATTTTCCCTCTCAAACTGTATCATTTCTTTCATAAAAACAATTTTAACTCTTAAAAAAACCTTTTGCTTAACCCAGAATTCTAGCTGAATCTGTTCCCAAGCTGTTTTCCTTTGAGGTTTTTAGTTTATAGATGTTTTGGAGTCATTCTCTTCTTCTGGGTATGTATCTTGAGGGTCTTTGTCAGTATAAAAGCTTTTTATGGTTGGAGTCTTCTTTTTGTTGCCTCATTCTGCCAGACTTTGTACACTTCTGGAGGAAGCATCTTGGCTGACTCTGTGTCTTTCAGGTTCATGCAGCTATTTTCTTGGGTATTGAGTGTTATATTATTCAAGGATCTCAGGGATAATTCAGGACTTAAAACTTTCAGCACTTGCCCTGATCAGGACAAATCTGAGTTGTTGTTCCCCTTGTCTGAGCTATAAAAGTTCCTCACCTTACTTTGAATTTGAGCAACAGGCCTGTGAGCTTGTATCCTTTGGAATTTCAGTAGAGTGCTGTTGGCCTCAATCACTATCAGCCAGTTGAAAAGCCCTGCTGGTTCAGAGTGACATTTTTTTGGACTTGAATTGTCCTGGCTTTTCATATGCAGAATTAAGATTACTCCTAGAAATTGAAACTAAGATCTTACCCTTCTCTTGGAGTTTGAGGCACATAGTTGCTGCTTGCTCCTGAAATTTTCTTTGGTCGGTTCACAATCTAAGGCCTGCTAATCTGGAATATTACCACTCAGCAGAGATTTCCTCTTCTCCTGTTTCATCCTAGAACTGGGTAGTAAGTGACAAAGATGCCAGTTGGCACCAATTTCTGCATGTTGTATGAGGCTGCAGTGCACAGATATGGATCTTAGACCTTATCTTGCCCCAGATATATGGCCTTATTCCTTTAGTCCCTTGGTGCTAGAATGCTTCATATGACATGCTCCTACTTGGACTGTCTCTTCAGTGTCTATAGATTTCTCCTTCTGTTTATGTTAGCCTAATCTGGAAAAATGACTCATTGTGCCTTTTTCTTTAATTTTATGATCAGTATTTGGTTTAGTACATTTTCTACATCTGTTTGGAGCAATTGTAGGTTGGGGAGGTGAGCTTACTATATTTTCTGCTATTTTGCCATTTTGGCCATTGTCTCATATGTGATGAAAAAATTGAGTCCATTCATCAAGAGCTCCTTTTTCCCTCCTCATTTCATATCACTGAGATGCTTTCTGCTGCCGTCTCCTTCACATTTGTCTCTCATGAAGAGATGGCCTTTTCCTTGCCAAGATAAATCCCTTTTCATGCACAAGTGATCCCTTTCTGTTCTGTCATCTATAGAAGATTGCCCCCTCTATTATTCCCACTTTCTCACTTATATTATTTTCCTATGTACTGGCTCTTTCCCAGCTTCCTACATACATAACCTTGTCTCCCTTATTGTCAGAAACATCCACTTGATCCATTTATCCCTACTATTTTCCTATGTTTTTCCTACCATTTTTACTTCTTTCACCATCTTCTTAACTCTGTAGTCTGATTCTGACCTTATCAGTTAACCAAAACTGCTTTCTCCAAAATTACTAGTTATGTCTTAATTGCCAAATCGAACAACATTTTCTCAGTTCTTATACTTCTTGACCTCCCCGTAGACTTTGACGGTGTCCATCACCCTCTTCTCCTTGATATTCTTGTCTCTCTTGATTTTTCTGACTCTGTTCTCTCTTGGTTCTTCTCCTATCTGCCCTTCCTTAGCCTCCTGTGCTAGATCTCATCCAAGCTACCCTCATTAACCTTGTATATCCTATAAAGTTCCATCTTGCACTCACTTCTCTTTTCTTTCTATAGTCTTTCACTTGGTGATTGCGTTTTATATTTCTAGCCTTAGGGTTTAACTGTTCCTGGGACAAGAGTAGGTACTTAATAAATGTTTATTGATGACTTGCATTTTTTATTAGCTGTCTCCCGAGGTCTTGAACTTTCTCCCTCCTTATCTCAGCTTCCTGCCTTCCGTGGCTTCTTTCACATCTTTGCTGAAGTCCCACCTTTTTAGCAAGAAGCTTTTTCTAGTTCTCCTTTATCTTAGTATCTTCCCTCTGAGATTATAATTCATATGTCTTCTCTGCGTCATTCTTATGTCTTCCCCTGTTTCTCAAGCTCTTAATATTCATCATTCCTTATGATCATATCAGTAGCATTTCACTATATTCAGAATTTGTTTAGCCTTTGTCCTTTATTTCAAGTTATTTGTTTATTTAAAAAAAGTTCTACAATGAGTTTTTTAACTTAGGTTTCTGCTAAAGTCCCACTTTCTGCAAGAATCCCTCCTTCATTTTAGTGCCTTCTCTCTGAGATTCTCTCTAATTTATCTCGTATACGTTTTATTTGTGCATAGTTTTTTGCATTTTGTATCCGCCATTAGACTGTGAAGTTGAGAGTGGGGACTTTTTTTTTGTCCTTTCTTTGTGCACTTAACTCAGTGCACTTAACTTGGTATATGCTATTTGACTTGTTGACTTCACAGTTACTGAGTGTTTGAGGTCTTCGTAACTCCCAAGTTCAGTTTTTTATACCACAGTTCTCCTCTTTTAGTGGTATCTTTCAGTTAGAGAATCAGCACTAATGATTGATTTAGCATTCATTTCACTATAATTCATTCTTAGTATTCAAGAGAAAAATGCACATTCTCTCACTGGGCATCCAAAACTCTTCACAGTCTTCATTTTGTTTGGCTTACCTATTCACTCTTGCTCCTTTCTTTCTGTTCACTACCAGATGCCTTTGTACATGTATTTCTAGAAGCATCACAGTGTAGTGGAAAGAGGGCTAGACCTGGGTCAGGAAAATCTGAGAAAAAAAAATCCTGCTGCAGATACTAGTTGAGTGACCATAGTTGAGTCACGTGACTTAAGGTGCCTCAGTCTCCTCTTGTATAAAATGAGGAGGCTGAGCTTTATGACTTCCAAGGTTCCTTCTAGTTATAAATTTCTGGTATTTCATGCAAATATATATATTTGTATATTTTTTGCCAGCTAGTGGCTTCCCTTCTTATAGTTTCTACATTGATTTTTTTTGTAATAAAACTTTTTTATTATGTTTGTTTATGATTGCCTTTATACATTTTTTGGTTAAAAAATTTCCTCCTTGTAATTTTGAAGGTTTTTGATTTCTGTGAAACAGTGAACTACTGCTTTTGGTTGTTCTTGATTTTCACTTATATAGTCTCTTTCCCTGATATACTTTTTTTTGGGTCTTTTAATCAGTTATCAAATAATTTTCTTCTTTTGGTATGGACCTGAATTTATTTTTAGGGGATGAGGAGGACTGCCAATGATGAAACTTCCATTATTTAAATCATTGCCTGCTTTGCTACTTAAAGTGACTTGCTCAGTATCACATTGCCATTCAGAGGCTGGACTTGAATTTAAGTCTTCCTAATGTTGAAGCCTACTCTTTATCCATTACTCCACATGTCCTCTTAACCAAATTATCGCTTGATGAAATAATTTGTTGTCTAGTAATGTATCCTTTGTTCCTACTTCTTTTTTCCATTAATTTGCTTGAAGTGTTTGACCTTTTCTTCCTTCAAGTGAGTTTGTTATTTTGTGTGGTTATATATTATTCCCAGCTAATTTGATATACACTAAATATCTCGTCATTTTTATCGTATTTTCTGTTGATTTTCTCAATCTACCTGTAGTATTTCTCCAAAAAAATTTTCAACCTTAATTATTATGGATCCTATTTTATAAGTAAATTATATTAGATTTTCTGGAACCTTAACTATTAACTACATTAAGAAGGAACAATATGATCTAATCTAATATAGTTGGCTATTTTCTTAGGATTAACAAAGCTAAATAATGTCATCAAATTTGTTTTTTAATTTTGTGTTTCTCAGGAATATTTGCTTTTTTTTTTTACAGCTTCTTGAAGGAAGTTTTGCTAGAGAAGTCAGTCATGAAGTAGATGGACTTATTTTTCAGCCTATTGGAGTAAGTTGAAACATGTATTATTAAAATGTGTGCTTTTCTCATAATTTTTAAAGGCTAATTCCATTTAATGGTTTTTGTTGTATGTAAATAGTCCTATGAGTAGTAATTAATCTGTAAAGAATTATTTGCAGGTACTTTGACTTTCATGGCTTGTTTTTTAATTGAAGAAGTATCCTTACATACCATGACAAAGTCATAAGATTAGGGTGATTTGTTTTCTGCTAATATATTGTGTTCCATTTGGCGCTAATCCTATCATTCATTTATTCTCTACTTTCCCTCTCTTCTCCATGCCATGAACCTATTTGGTTCTTGTATGGGGTAAGGTGTATTAAACTGCATATCTGGTTTTATTCTAGACCAGGGGTTCTTAACCTTTGTGTGTGTGTGTGTGTGTGTGTGTGTGTGTTAATGGACAGACAATCTATGGATCCCTTATCAGAATAATGTTTTTAAAAGGCATTAAATAAAATACATGGGATTACAAGTGGAACCAATTATACTGAAATACAGTTATCAAAATATTAAAAGAAAAAAAGCTTACAGACATTAGCGATAGACTGAAGTGACTTTGGAGCCTGATCTTGAAACTTCTTAGCCTGGTTCATTGCTCTTGATGTGCCATTTGTGTGGTATTCAAGTGTATTTCAAATGTGTATTTATCTATTGTAGAAGAAATAAGACTAGCCATAATCTGTATAATATGATGTGATATGTAGATATTAGCTGGGTTAAGTATTTACTATTTTAACATTTTAAGGATATATGACTTATAAGTGTAAATATTGTTATCGGTATAGATTTCAGCTTCACGGCTGGTCTTCATGAATGTCTGTGGCCACAAAAATTCTTTATCTAGTGGTTAGATTTCTAATGATGGTCCTCTCTAAAGTTAAGTAACAATTCTCAATGCAAAACAAATATTACTGCGGCGATACTGGAAGTTTAAACAGCCTGCACTGTACCTATACTAAGGGTTACATTTACAGCACCAAAAGATTAATTAGAGTGAGGCGAAATCCCCTTAGAAATGGAGTAGACAACTTGTCTGTGTTTCAGAGATAAGTCCCAGGAGTTTCAGCACACAGATGTTAATTGACTTACTCATGATCACAGTGTTAATAAATGTTTGAGGCTAGATTTGAAACAATTTGAATGCCTATTCCTGACTCAAAGCCCATCTTTTCATTATGCTTTAGCTACCTTTGCTTTCTTTACTAAACATGAAAGAGGTTCTTGTATTTCCAAATCAGGAAAGGTTTTTGTGGATTAAAAATAATCGATTATCAAAATGGCTTTTGCAACTTTCCTCTGTCATGAAATTTTTTTAAAATTAAATATTAATATAGCTACCCAAATTTTCCATTTGTAATGCTGCAATTTTACAAGGAAGCACAATATTCATAAATTTGTCAGAGCAGCAGAACACCTCCCATTTTCTCCCATTTCCACTTCTCTAGTGGTTGGTACTTTAATGTGAAGGATTCATTTGCATAAATTTATGACTCTTATGTTTTTTTTTCTTCCAATTTTCCTGTGTTCCCTTTAGATGAAATTTAGCAAGCCTCCTGAGGAGAACTTGTTTTATAATTCTTGTCTCAATCTGGGTTTACACTTCCATGGTTTAGAAGCTGCATCAAATACTCCATATTGTCTTGAGTAAGGACTAAGTTGTGAACTCCAGGATTCATGATTACCTTAGTGGTTACCTTCACTGTCTCATTAGTGTGCTCCTTTACCTTCTCCTTAAATCCTCTCAGAGGTGCACAGTGATTGGAAAGAGAAGAATCTGTGTGAAATATGGTCACTTGAAAGGTGCTATCATTTTCAGACACTGATAGTCCTATCTCCTTATTGGCAGATGAACTTAAATGTGTATTGGCTCCAAATTGAATTTTCTTTTGCAAGTAGCATCTTCCTTTTAAATTTGCATAAAAACCCCATATATATGTATGCATACCCAGCTATATGTGTATATGTATATATAAATATGTATAGCTGATAGAAGGAAAAGAATAACTAGTTGGTCCCTTACTTTCATGAGATGCTCATTTTAGGTGATTCATTTTTGCATTATGGATCTTGATGTAAATGTTTTCAGTGAAGCAATTTATTATTTATTTAGATATAGCATTGCTAAAGGAAGGTCTTCTTTAGAATCCTTTGTTATTAATTTTTATATTTTGGAGAATCAGCATTATAACATGAGAAAGGATGAGGTATTTCACTTCATAAATCAGTGCATCCTCAGTAGATTTCTACTGAATGTTGGTGTATGATGTAGAGATTCAGTAAGCAAGATTCAATGATAGTTATATTTCCTCCAAATATTGAATGGATATTTAACTAAATAAATTGGGAACATTAATAGACTTCTGTTCAACTTAAAAAAAAATAGAAAGTTTAGGGGTGGTGCTACAGATTTGGAATATTGTGTATACCTTCACATGAGTCATTGTATTGTTAGTTTTGCTTAATTGTTTTTCTTTGTTGCAAGAGACCTTTCATGTCATTAGGGTAATTTTAAAATATTTGTTATGTAAAAACAATGTACATTGATAAAACTTTAATTAAAAAAAATAGAAAAAAAGAGTTGAGGGCCAGGCTTGAGCATCTTAGTTATATATGTTTGAGTCTCCTCGGGATCTAGATTGCCATGAGAAAAGAAGAATTAAATCCTGATAGTTGGATAGAAATTAACATAGTTCCTTCTTAACATCATGTTTTCATGAGGTTGATGATAATATTTAGAGCTGTACTGCACAGATATTCATTACATGGTAATTCTCAGGCATGGATAGCTAAAGTGATGAGATAAAGAACAGATTTTTTTTTATTTTTTTATTTTATTTTTTGGCTAGGCAATGGGGTTAAGTGACTTGCCCAGGGTCACACAGCTAGTAAGTGTTATGTGTCTGAGACCAGATTTGAACTCAGGTCCTCCTGAATGCAGGGCCTGTGCTCTATGCACTGCACCACCTAGCTGCCCCCAGATATTTTTTTTTCCCTTTAAATATATGATGTTTTAGAAACAAAAGTCTTTTGTCTGAGCTGTGGGAAGATCTCAGGTGAGCTAGCAGCAGAAGGGGCAGGTTCTGCTAACACTAATTTCCTATATCTGTATATCAACTTCAAGAGAAATTACTATTTGTCAGTCATTAAATATTTATTAAACATCCGCATTGTTCCTAGCACTGTTCTAAGTGCTAGGGTTACAAAGGAATGTAAAAGATAGTCCCTGTTCCCAAGGAGCTCACAGGGGAGCAAAATGTAAACAACCACATACAAACAAGTTATATGCAGAATAAATTGGGAATTATCAACAGAGGGAAGGCACCAGAATTAAGAGGGGTCAAGAAAAGACTGCCTGCATAAGATGAGATTTTAATTAAAACTTGAGGGAAGCCAGAGGCAGAGATGAGGAGGGAGAAAATTCCAGGTATGTGATAGCCAGTGAAAATACTTGGCATTGAGAGGTAGAGCAAGGAGGCTAGTGTAACTGGATGGAAGAGTAAGTGCTAGGTTCTTAACTGAGTGGGTCCAAATGAGCCATAGGAAACATGAGGTTTTAAAAGAGCCACTGTTGTGAATGGGACAGTGAGTTAATTTCAAAGGTGTAAAAGGATTGCCTTGCAGCAGTGAGGGCCAGTTGAGGTTATATAGAATAAATTTGTAGTGATCTAATAATGGTTTTGTTGTTCTCCTTGTCTCCAGCATCATTCAGCAGCATGTGTATAGGAGGGAACACAACACTGAAGGACACTATGAGATAGCTTCACATGAAATTTACCAGATTTCTTTACTTAACTGTGTTTTTACCTTCCGTTTTCTGAATAATCTTTATTTCATGGCTTTATGACTCTCATATCCATATCCTGTTGGGGTGATGCTACTTCTCCCTGACCATTTTTTTACTGGATAGGAAGCAGATGTTAATTGCTTTCTTAACTTTTCAATTTTCATGGAGCTGTTATACTCATTTCTAAAGGGATTCTTGCTTGCCTTGAACCTTTTGTATTTTATTTTCTACTGTTTAAATAAAGACTACAAACCATGATGTCATTTAATAAACATTATCTTCATACACTGTATGAAATCAGGAGAAAAATTCTTCCTAGTCATTTCCACACCATGCCACCTTGCTTATATAATATCCCTCCCTATATTTCCAGTTCTCCTTTATGCATCATCTTCTCCCATTAGAATGTCACTTCCTTTTAGGTGAGAATCTGTTTTGCTTGCATGTATTTGTATTTCGTCCTCTTAGTACAGTGCCTAGCATGTATATACTAAGCACTTATTAGAAACTCTTTTCATGAGATCTTAAATATAGATTTAGAAAGTGCCTCAAAGGCCATTTAGTCTATTCCCCTCATTTTCTGGATGAGCCAACAGAATTAACTGCAGTTTATTGAGTAGAGAGCCTAGGAGAACAACTTAAAAGTCATTCCAATTATGAGGGTATCCCATGGGATGAATGTTACAGAAGTAGAAATGATAAGACTTGACAACTGATTGGATATGTAGGGTGATACATACTGAAGAATCAGGGTAAAATTCTGAGGCTGTGAACTTTATGATTCAAAGAACTGTGGTACCTTCAACAGTGGGGAGTTTGCAGTAGGGATGGATTTGGACAAAAATATTCATTTTTTAATGTGTTGCTTTTGAGATATCTATGGGAAATCCATTTTGAAATGGCTAATAGATGATTCTCTCATACAGACCAGTATTAGGGCCATGATGGAAACCTTTTCAGGTTGACACGTTCTTCAGAGTTAGTACTTTAATTCCATATCCTTCATGATGTCATGAGGCATTAAGGTACTTAATTTTAGTCAAGAATTTGGTAGGTACTTAATAGGTTCTTGTTGACTTGAAAGATAATTTCAGCAAACATAGATAAAGTTAAATACACATTTTGACTACAGGTTTTCTTTTATTATCATTAGAAATAATCTAACTGGAATTATTTTTATCTTTCAAGACTATAAGTATTT